TATTATGACTTTATTCTCATAATATTATGACTTTATTCTCATAATATTATGACTTTATTTTATACGACTTTAATGTTGTATTATTACGACTTTATTCTCGTAATTTAAAAATAATTTAAAAAAACCTCATTGTGTGGCCATAATACTCCGTCGTATTATGGAGCCCGCGAGGGGACATGGAGGGACTATTTTTTCTTTTGCGTTACCTCGCAACCGTTTGCATTCCTTTGCAACATTGTTTTTTTTCTTTCCCACGCAAACATTTGCTTTGTATGAACTGAATGATATCAGACTTCTATTTTGAAATATCCGGTTACCAAAATAGGATTTATCGCCACAAGTTTGGGAAATTGACGCTTATATTTTGTGTCTGCACAGAGTTAAAATATCTGCATATTAAATATCTTCATGTGTGAGTGATACATTTAATCCAAAGCTGAATTAAAGTAGTATTATGGTGAGCAGGTGAAGTTGTTAATAAACCAACAGTAATTCACTTGCCAACTTCAATGACTTCAACAAGAAAAGAAAAAGACTTAAACATTTTTTCTTTTCCTCTTTGTTGGTCATTTTCCATAGAAATGAATAAAACGTATTTTTATAGTCAGAAATATGTTTTCTTTTACCCGCCATATTCAAAAATGTTTTTTTCTTCCTTGCCTTTCAGGTCAAGTAGTTCTGGCGGACATCTTGAGTTCGGTTGACTCCAAGAGACAACCCTGTAGATTCACATCCAGAGTTTTATTAAAATCCATCTAGTACTTTATGAGATATTTTTCTAATAAACAGAAAAAACAGTCAGTTATATTATTACCCACCTTTCGAGGAATGAAATAAATGTGTTTGTGTTGAAGGCAGCGGAGCTGTCCATCAAGTTCCTGAGTGCAGACCAGGCGGTGGAGGTGGTCCAGATGGTGGGACCGCGCTTCGCGCAGCGCAGGAAGTTCGACACTGTGGGTGAAAACACACATGCGAACAACTCCCAGAGAATTAAAACCTGTAAACGTGAAACGACTTGATGTTTCCGTTTGTGTCCAAGGCCGCTGAGCTCTACCTAAACCTGGACCTGATCAAAGAGGCGATTGACGTCTTCATCCAGGGAGAGGAGTGGAACAAAGCCAAGAGAGTCGCCAAGGAGATGGAGCCGAGGTTTTTAGAACGCTCCAGTGTCACCATGGTTGCTGGAGGCAAAACATGGGCAACAATTAAAGAGAAATACTTTGTTTTTATTGTAACTGATTCTGGTTGTGCAGGTATGAGGATTATGTGGACCAGAAGTACAAAGAGCAGCTGAAGAACCAAGGCAAAGTGGACTCTGTGAGTCCACTTTCTTTTGCTGGAGATCATTTTCTCTTTGACAGATCGTGTTCGTTACCTAGTGCTAAACGTTTGGGCCTCCAAACCACAACGCTTTTCACCAGTGGTGGGCACCAGTCTGCTAAAGTGCAAATCCTCTAATTGTGGACCTAAATATTCTGTTTACGCTTTAGCGATCTTACTAATATTTATAATTCATAAGCGGATTTGTGCTTTCTAAAATTAAAATGCAGTAC